TAATTATATACTTTAACAATAATTCAACATAATAAGTGTAACGTAATTCTAAAACTATTCAATATTACAAAAAAATAACAATTCCAATTGATCCATAGCTGGATCCCGTTGAGCTTTAGCTTTTTTTTTATGGTAATACAGAAACATCGATGCCAATATATCGGGTTGGCACAAAAGTAATGAGACACTTGGTTTAAGTTTTTACTTTTTTATTATTATTACAATAAAAAAAAGTTTAGTCAATTATGTAATTACCATTAGTATCTAAGACTTCTTGCCAACGATCCGGCAAAGTTTGGATGCCTTTTGCCCAGAACTCTGATGGCTGTGCCTCGAAAAAGTTGTTCAACTCCGCCTCTACGTCAGAGAAATCATTAAATTGTTTACCCTGCAAATGCTGTTTCAGGGCTCTAAACGAATGATAGTCTGATGGGGCGAGGTCTGGGGAATAAGGTGGGTGGGGTATCGTCTCCCAGCCCAAGTTCTCCAACTGCCGGCGAACCACAGATGCGACGTGAGGTCGAGCGTTATCGTGCAGTAAAACTACATGGACTCGTCTTCGTCGTTTTTTCTTGATAGCGGCAGATAATTTGGTAAGCTGGGTTGAATATTTATCAGCGTTTATAGTTTCATTGTGTAATAGCTCATAAAACAGTATGCCTTGCGCATCCCAGAAACAGCAAAGCAGAATTTTTCGGCGGTTCTTTTGACGCGGCTTCGGTTGAGTTGGTGGCGTTTCTTCTCGAGGCAGCCAAAAAGCACGACGTGTATCGTTCTCGTAATAAATCCATGATTCATCTCCAGTAACCAGATCTGACAAAAACTCTTTACGTCGGGGTCGCAGCAAAAGTGACTGACAGATAGCGACACGGACTGCACGACTGGCGTCTGTAAGGATGTGCGGTACCCACCGAGCCAAAACTTTTCGATAACCAAGCTCATGCAGATGGTGTTCCACGGCGTGGTGACTGCTTTAAGTGCTTCCGCTAATTCACGAGTGGTAGCATCTGGATTCAACTGCAGTTTGCGGCGCAAATCGTCATCATTCACTGGGGGTGGTCGCCCTGAGCGTGGGTGACTTTCAAGGCTCCTGTCTCCTGATTTAAAACGGTCAAACCATCGGGACACCGTCGCATGGCTTGTACTTCCAGCGCCTAATGCATTGTTGATATTGTCAGCCGCAGCCCGCGCACTGTGGCCTAACAAGTACTCGTATAAGTATAGTGTTCTAACTTGTCGCTCGTCCATTTTTCTTCAAACTGACTAAACAAATCGCGAGAGCGGCTTTATATACCCTACACCAGAAGTACCTAGAATGTTCTACAACATTCTAGAATATTATCGAAAAAATTGATTTTAAAAAGGAAATGTTATAGATTTTTCTAGTGTGTCTCATTACTTTTGTGCCAACCCAATATAAATATCGAATCAAACATAATATTGTTGTAAAAGGAAATTATTCAAGAACTATTTTCTTTAAGAAAATTTATTACTTTCTCTAAGCGATATAATATCGACAAATGGTTAGTCAGGCACTTGTAGAGGCATAATAACAATGTATACAAATGAAGAATTTTACCAAACATCCGATGCTGGCCAAGAGAGAAATGGATTTACAGTAACATGTTTACAACATCCAAGTTCAATCTTAAGTATATCACATTTTATTTATCTATTTTTACATTAGAAATTTCACAGAAAAATATATATGGAAAAGAAAAATTATGATTGACATTTACATAGATATTGTGAGGGGGGACTATTCTATCTAGTACTTCCCTTCGACAGGATCACATAGGCGTTGCCACTACGATAACTACTTACTGTTAATATTTACTACCAAAAATTTCGAATTTACATAGAAGGTATAATAGATTAGTAATACTCAGTAAGGGGCCGTCCATTAATCACGTGAGGCTCAAAAGGGGGGGAAGGGGTTTGTTAAAAATCATGGAACATCACAAGGGAGAGGTATTTCTACGCGCGTATTTAGTGTATTCGTCTAAAATTAAGTTTTTTTCTAAAAATAAAGATTTACTATAAATTACATGTGATTTGGGGGGGTAGTCTTAAACCTCACCATGTATCACCAAGGGGAGGGGGCTTAATAAGTGTTGAAAAAACATTACGTGATTAATGGACGACCCCTAACGACGTCTCTGTCCGATATGTACAACTATCTCATTTGACTTAGAATTCTTTGTGTCCTTTGGTCTAAAACCTCATTGGTCTAAAATAGTGGAATCAATTTTTTATTATATTTTTATCAAGATTTCTTATCTCTTAAAGTGTTGAGACCTCAATTTACCTAATATTTATCTAATAATATTTTAGAAAGTATTTGTAAGGATGAATCCAGACATAGATTTTCAAATGCTTAGACAAGATGCGAATGAAGGGCTGACGCGTCTTACTCAACTAGTGGTGAGTGAGGCACGCTATGAAGTAATATTAAGATAGTTTACAATTTACATTTCGTCCGTACACGGCTTTATATAGACATCGTTCTATTGAGCTTTATGCATCCAGAGAACAGAATTCAATAATGCAATTTAATCGTTCAGTTTTCGTAAGTGTGAAACTTATTACGGCTGACTAAGTAGTTAATTTGATATGAGCAAATGTGCGCGTTGTCGATATCCGGCTACAACGTCACCGTGCGGCTGGAGGGTCACTGCTGCTCCGGCGGCTCTGGAACAGATCAATCCGTGTATCATATAGTATATATAGTATCATATACTATAATGAAACTTATTGTATTCGTTGATTATTTTCTTACATTAACAAGTATATTACATTCAATTCGACAAAACAAATTTACAACATTTTTAAGAGTATTTATTTTTATTGGGTTTTAAACGTCTTTAAATAGGTATAATGTAAAATCTACGGTAAGATGATATAATATAATGTCATTTTACAGTAGGACGTAACATATATGCCTACTATAATGAACATATACATGTTATCTCTAAATACATAAGACAACAAATCATAACAGTCGTAAGTTACTTAATAATTAGAAAGGCGGCTCAATATAAAAAGATAACACTAATCCCTGTAAATCGGTGCACATGTAAATAACAAGTGAATGGTTATTTTATAGAGTGTCCAACATTATGGTTTAAGCTCTTAGCAGTATTAGTGACATTGTACTAGCGCGCGGCGGCGCGGGGGGTGCGGGGCGCGCGGTCACAGCTGCGCAAACAACACAGGCGCGCGCGCAATGTTTACTCGCGCGAGGAACATGCTGCGATTTTGATTTAATTGTGGGTAATTCGTGTATACATAACTTTTAACCCCACCGCTGCAGAGATTTGGCTAGTACTTAATCATACGTTTTTAAATTGGTAAGATAAAGTCATATATCATTTTGAAATAACTTAAACATGTGCAGCTCATGAAAGTTCCATTACAATATTATTTAGAAATCAATACGATACGTAGATGACATGCCATCATCAAAAAATATATATATAGTTTTTAAAGTAGAGATTAAACGCGGCGCAGAGTGTTTATGTAGACGGTGCTGGTGAAATAATATTTGTGTTATACGCGACATCACACCGCCTGCTCTGGTAGTCTTTGTTTCGTCATTTGATATTAATTATATCAAAGCCACTCGGCTATAGAGCTAAAATATTTATATCCAATGAATCTAGAAGCATTTTCAATACGTTGGTAGCAAGTTTTTTGCGTTATATGGTTACTTTGAAAAATTAAAAACTTTCATTTCAATACCGAAATACTGCTACACCGTAGCACGCCAACGTAGCACGTAGATGCTACACGTTTTATAAATATTATTTTGTATTTAAAGTTGCCGGAGTAAATTTAAACTAAGGTCGCACTTAGATTTAGTCAAAATGAATATTTTGTCTTATAAAAAATTAGGTTTAACATTTAACATCAGAATTAATTACAATAAAAATTGCAATTGCAAAAAGCGGAAACTTATAATTCCAGTTAGAGTAAGTACTTGATGATTTTTATTGTTCATTTAATGGTCAAGCGAGTTCTGTTTAACAAAACTGAACAATAAGAATAAGTGTGTGTTTGTATTCGTGCACCGAGTCCATTGCATCCGAGTAGTGCGGGACCAATCTTCGGTGGTGGCGCGATAGTGATCTGTTATCGCGTGTGATCGCGCGCACGTGGGCTGCATCTGTGTCCACCACGCCGCACCCCCCGCACCCCCGCCCCCGGTCAACTCAACCTAATGTATATTGTTATTTACACCCGCGGTGAGCCGCCACACCACTAAGATAACATCTAATGCTAAATCAACTATGAAATCACTTTATCAGTGATTAACATCTTCGCGGAGCAAGCGTGTGTTTGTATTAGCCTTTCACAAATTGATTTTATGATTAGTTTTTACATTTGTAGAAAATGCTTCTCCTTTAACGTTATTTTTTTAAATTAATAAGTTACGTAATGTATCGATGGGTGATCTACGAAGTATTACGTTTGGAGTACGGCACGTGTAAACTCTAGGTTTAAACAGTTTAACTAATTTTGGAGAGGGTGAAAATAAAAAAATGTAAAACCACTTGTCACCTCGAATATGACAATGTTCAAATCAACAAACGTAGCACGTCGAGTGACATTTAGTGCACAATCAACTAAAGAGCGGCTTAATTTGAGCGAGTGCACGTGCACCGGCCGCTGCCGACGTTTAAATTATTACAAGTAACAATACAAAACTCTTAACTGACGCACACGAGCGCGCCCCGCATCAAAACCATATTATAATGTCATCACACCGTATCAATCTTAATTGTTCGAGGCCGCAACGTGCACCCCTCGGTTAGTGGCGGCGCGGGCGCGCGACAGGTGCGCCCGGGATTCGCGCCTCTACTGCGCCGCGATAAGGTCGCGCCCGTTGCGGCCCGGCCCCGGCGCGTCAGGTGCCGCCGCCAGTTTTGCGTATACGCAGGGTCGGTTTATGTTGTCGGCGGGGACTTAATGCGAATGGCATAGCGGCGTAATGACACCATTCAGGGAGAGTGTAGCGAATGTGCGCGGCGTGGGTGCGGGCCACGTGCGGCGCCGATGCGAATTGAAGCCGCAATCAAAATACTACGACGTGGAGCGGTAGGGGGGGAAGGGGAGGGGGTAAGCGACATGTGCTTATTCGATTCGATCGACGGCGATTTGACTACAATGATATATCAAATCTACATTAGAAATATAAGTTAGCGTGTTAATAAGTCAGACAGACAAAATAACTATTATCACTATAGTTTCTGAAATTTATGTCTTAATAGTTTCTCGGTCTCTAAGATATATTATAATTTTCGAGTTGACTTATTTCTTTTCTTCCTCGAGCTGGTCCGGTCGTCGAGAGGGCAGTGTGATACGTGTGTGCGTATTGTACCTTCTTCTTCGTGTTCAGGGTCAGGCTCCGATGGTGGCGTGAGCGACTGTTCGGGTTCCGCGTGCTCGAGCGCGCGCTCTCCTGCCGCACGGTGCAGCTCCGCGCGAGCCTCCACCACATCCCGCACGATCTCTGCACCGACCGACATAAACAGTTATCATCTGAATCGTATATTCCGCTTTTATTTCCGATTTACAGCTAGCGACGGGGTCGACGCTTTTCTTCGCGTTCCAGATCAGCGCGACCTTCGTAATAAAGTACATAGGCGGGGCGGTCTCACCCGTGAGCACGTCTCTGCTGGTGATGAGCGCCTCGAGCTCGGCGGAGACCTCTCGCAGGAGCCAGGGCATGAACTCGTCGTCGACGCCGCGGCGCGCGCGCTCCAGCAGGTGGCCCTGGTCCCGCAGCCCCGCCAGCACCGCGGGCAGCAGCTCCGCCAGGTACCCCTGCACCAGCACCGCCGCCGCCGCGCGCTCGCGCGCCTCCACCGCCGCCTCGCGCGCCACTCGCGCTTCTGCCACGCGCCGCTCCTGGGAACCCACACACAGAATCGATACATTCCCGCAGCAAAGCAAAAAACCTTCACCGGAGGAAGAACGGCAGGATCGATTTCGTATAGTAAGAGTATATTTGAAATATTCTCACTCTGATACCGTTTTTAAAAAGATAAAAGAGATCGAAAACCGAGAGGTTTGAAATTTGAAGTTTTTTAGTTTCCTCGATTACCGTTCCTAGGAAAATGTTCTCGCATTCATATATTAATCCTTCTCTTGTAAAATAAGAATTTTCAGTAAAGGTGGTTCACGAATCGATATATATATTGATATATGGGAACCTTCTCCTCGTTGAGCCTGAGGTCCTGGGCGGCTAGCCGCGCGCGCTCTGCCCGCTCGGCGTCCCTCAGCTCGGTGTACCGCCGCTGGTGCTCGCGCAGCGCCGCCAGCTCCTCCTCCTGCGCCACCTCCGCCAGCGCCTGCTCCGCCGTCTTGCCCACCAACACCTCTAGGATCGGCTGTACCTCCAGGTCGAAGTCGAATAGCTGCCGGAACGACGTGCGTTATGTTAGTGAATACACAGAGGCTCGAGCGATAGAGTTCCGTACGCGTGACCCTATATTTTATCCAGCTTTCTGAAGTTAACGTTTTGAATTAATAAAATATATTTTTAAATTTCGAATTCTTGTACCTTGAAATCTGAATATAAATGTTTGTAAGAATAAATAAAAGACGTAGAATAAATGCGTGGGCTCACCGCGCAACATATGAAGGTTACCGTTAATGATATACTGATGGCTAATTTAATACATACGTCGCCGGGATAGATCTGCGTGTGAGCGTCCGCGCCGGTCTTGGCGGGCACGTACACGGGCGTCGCGGGCCGGTCCACGAACAGGTCCGTCTGCACGCCCACCTCCATCTCCACACCTTTGTCGAACAACTGTGCGACACGTTCCCACCCATTAATATATTATTATTTATCTTACTAATGTGTGGACATTGATTTTGCTGTACATAATGGATTGGAGTGATTACTCACTAGTATGATTGCCTGCTTTAAGAAAAGTAGTGTCAAGTTTTAACTTTATATCGTTCTGGCATAGTATAAAAGTTCGTTCGATGAGAATACATTAAATCGTGCTTTAGCTTAAAATTTATTAAATCTGGGAGTGTTACTAAAATAGGCAACTATTTTAGCAATTTCCGCAATGACTCCCTGAGCAAATATACATGAATCACTGTAGAATTTACATTTATTTCAATTTCCTTAAATTATTTTCTGTATCAAAAATTTTATCAAAATGTAATTGAAATTATGGCAGATATTATTTTCCTCATAAAGTATATGACAATTATATTTTGTTTATATTTGTATGTCAAGGTGATTAAACTTGGCAATAATTATACAGTTGACCATTTTTTTCCGAACATGTGTAGTAGTAATTGTTGGTGACTTTAAAAAATATTTTTAATAACCTTTTTTAAGTTCATTAAGTTCAAACATTGTTCACTATTTTTTCATTTTATTCTTGTCAGTCTCCATTACATGACACCATTACACGAATAGTTCGGTCCTTAATAGCAGTGTAGTGTGTGTTAACCTCTTCTAGATAGTATTCCGTCTGTATGGGGTGGTGTCGGCGGCCAGGCGCGGGGGGCGGGGTGCCGGGCCGCAGCCGCGCCGCTGCCGCGCGTCGCGCGAGCGCACGCCGTCGCGTGCGGGCCACCCGCGCCGCCGCGCTCTCACCACCATCACCCTGTGAACAGTAATATCACACAACATCGCATACATTGATCAGCATATACGAGTATATATTGGAACAACGAGGCTGACACTCGCGGGATAATGTAGAAATGTTAATTTTCTGTTCGCCTGAAAATGGAACACGGAACCTCGTAAATTCCGACATCTCTAAAATAACAGCTCGATAGACAGATAATATAAGTTTAAAACAACAACAAAAACACAAGAACAGACAAATTAAACGCATTTGCAAAAGTGCGTTCCAAAGACTGCAGTGAATTATTTTTATTCTTTACTTATAATCTTTATTTGATTACAGGTAACGTGAGACTAACACAAAAAGTAACGTCATATAATTTTTATCTAGTAATAAATAAGAATGAAAGAGAGAGATTATATAGTTTTTCATTTTATTGTATAAACATGTTCTTTAAAGTTAGGGTGCAAGTGCCAAAGTAAACGAACAGTCATGTGGAAGAGAAACCGTCCGGCCTGTTAACAGTACGAAGTTTGCGAGACGTATTGTAAAACTGTGTGTCATTAGCACACGTATTCGTAGTCAAACAGTGATCAGTAGATTTTCCAATTAACTTAAAGAGTATATATCTGAGCTTTAACAACGCACAAAATGGAAGGTTAATATAACTAAAGTATATATTGGAGACATGATGTTGTTGCAAGAGGACTCGGTCGTCGCTGACGTTGACACTACCAAGGGCTGCGAGCGTCATTGAAAGTCTATGTCTTTCAAGGGGAGAAATTATGTTGAAGCCTATGTAAAGAAAAGTTACGAAATAATTTAAGTTTGTAACATTGCAACAAAATGTTATAAGGGGTTATGTACATATATTTTTATAAAAATTGTTGTGAGGTAGTTTAGTGCTAATTATTCACATTCACTTTTCGCTTGACCATTGAATTGTATAGAAGCAATGTTTCAAGGTTATACAAAATTTCAAGTATTTCAGGTTTTTATTGAAGAAACTACGATCTTGTACTAAAAAACCATTTTAAGTCTCCGATAACTATGGTTGTAGCTATTTTCAATGCTACGCTGCTACGGTACAGCTACGACTCCGCTAAGTCTACGAGACACGTAGCAATTTTTAACGTAGACAACGGGATGGAAATTGAATATTAATAGGCAATTAGTAAAATTTGTACCAAAACCCACAAGAGCATTATCTAGCAATGTATGCTCCAAAAATATTCCATCATAATAACAACATCATTTGTCATTCCGTCAAATACCTATTACTGTTAGTCACACACGGGGTACGTACGTCGAACGTATTTCCATAGAATATGAATTTAAGTTGGATATATTATTTTTTACTGTACTAGTAGTACTCTAGTCTACTAATCAGTATTATATAATATTAGACAGTCGCATAAGAAAGCGTTTTATTTGTAAATGTTTCAGGTTTCTATTATGTCAGCATAATGTATGGTTGAAGACAATTTATTCAATTACGGAATTTATTTAAATTACGTTACAGATTGTTCGCAATTTTAGTACAAGACATTCCTGATAAACAATGCAAGAAGTGGCATGAGACCAGGCGTGGGCGGTCAAAGGATCCTCGGAGCAAACTGAGCTTTATTTACTAGAGTCTTTGCATTACTTTTTGTTATTCAAGTAGGGCAAATTGGGGATAATTTGTCTGAGAATAATTTAAAGAATACCAACTAATTGGTGTGTTTCTAGGAGTCGACGGTGTGGGGGGTGCGGGGGCGCGGGGCCGGTGTCGGTTTTGACATGCTTACACAAACATCGTATTGTATTGGTTTGACACGGATATGACAATCGTCATGTGACCGGCGAGGGCGGACAATGGGTCAGAGGTTCGGGTATCGATTGCGGCCGCGTGCACTAAGCGCGCTCATCGCGCCGTCAATCGGCTATTTACCCGTCCCTCCTGACTGACCCACATTAAGTAATTTGACCAGGTCCATTAAAACATAATGTGAGTTGTGTGCCGCTGCACCGGCTTTGTACAAAATTGTTATTACGAATGAGAAAACTAAATCATATTTTTAAAGGTTCCTTTACAGTCACCGTCAAATGTGTACTAATAAAATTTTCTCAATAGCAATCCCTTTTTTTTTCTCGTAATACGCTTATTATAAAAACTTATAATATGCGAGCCACTTTGTGCCGAGGAAACTTAATTTGTCATCATTTTGTCTTTACGTCGTCTTATGTAAACCTATGTCGCTACGAGCCATCTTTTATTAGAGAAGAAGTTTGATTTTAAAAATGTATTTATGTCCAGTAATGTGGTGCAACTGACCGCGGCGTGTGGGTGCGAGGTGAAGGTGCTGCCGCGCACCACGCGCTTGTCGTGCATCACGTTGGAGTACTGCGTCGCCCCCATGCTGCCGCTGCAACCATACATACACACACTGTCATTAGCATTATAAACAAACATTATGTACAGTCAACCAACAGCACGTCAGGTTATACAAATCAGTCAAATTTATTCACTTTATTTTAAATCGTAATGTTTTGAGACTGGAGTTTAAAATCGATCGTGGTAACCTGACAAACAGCCGTGTGTACGTTAAATAATACAATTATTCAGAAGTAACGAGTACTTCCGAAATTTTATATTTACGCAATTATTTTTTATTATTCCGGTCCGGTAGTGATGAGAAAAAGATCTCATCATTTAAGATCGATGCAATTCTGGCGGAAGTTCTATCAAGAGAAACAAAGTGAGTATGCGGATCGACGGATCAACCGTCGGGTGTGCAGTGACCTTTCAAAACTTTTTGACCTAAATCCATAAAGTGACAGCCATTTAAAGAAAAAAAATTCTTGTTACCTGCCCGTCTGCAGGTCGCCAGTTATGTAGTTTCAAAAGGAAAGACAAATGTTTATTTATTATATCGAGTATAGAGTTTTTTCAGCTGTTTGTAATTTTATCATTCATTTATAGGCATAGTATTAAGTTATTCAGTTTTAATAATTATTTCATTTATCTTCAAATTATTAAACATAATAATTAGAACAAATTCTCATCTTTATCGAAAGTTTAAATATTTGTAGAAATATTACTTTCGGCTGTTTGGGTACATTGTCTGAACATTTATGAAAATACGCTCTTTAGTAGCGAAAAAAGTAACAAGTGCTTGAAAAATTCGTTAGTCCTGTTAGGTCCTGGGTAGCTCAGCGGTTAGAGCAGTCGCTCAGATTGAGAAAGGTCATGAGTTCGAATACCATCTTAGAGTGCCAGGGGCAAAGTGGATTTTTAAGCAATTTTCGTTAAGAATATTTTTCAGTATAACGTTGTGAATGCAAAATTGGTCAAATACAATTAAGTAAATAATTGTCAAACTCAGTATAATACCCGCAAGGTAAATCAAAACTTAAGTGATTTAATAATAATTGGAACTGTAATGCATTACAAATTATAATGACTGAAATAATTACGTAAAGGAGGGCGAGGAGCCCTAACACCAATAAAGTACATCAGAGATAAGGAAGCAGACTGTATGGACATTAGGGCCCCAACCCTTCGCTCGGCCCGCCGCAGCGCGACCCCGATATTAAGTGCGATTAATATTATAGTGTATTTCTTATATATCATCATATACTTAGTTTTATTCAGATTATAGGATCTGGAACAATTAAGGTCCACAACTACTCATATCATATACAGAAAACTCCTTTACTAGACTGATGGACAAGACTGATGGAACTGGGCCCGAGATCTCAGATATGGTGATGTCTTGAAATCGGTACGACGTCATGCGAGCTACACGGCTCCAGAGCTCGCCAAGTAACAATTAAAGTTTTTCTGTAGTTAAGAGTAAAGCTCGCTCTGTTTCGATCAAAGAAACAGAAGATGAACCAGAATGAAAAGTGAGAGTATGTTCGAGAGTGAACTTCATTATCTACCAACAGTTAATAAAAAACTGATTGATATAACGATAACAATATTAATACTAGGTGCAAGTAGATCGATCGTAATCAACAGGCACGCGTATGATTATTATCGAGGCGAGAGCGCTGGCGATGGTATAAAATGTGACACATTTACTTATATGTTAAAACTAATAAAAATAATTTTTCTGGTATTTGTTGAGTTTTGTGAGTTGACTAGCTGGACATAAACTTATATACCAAAATTTTAAATAAAAAAAGGTGGTACTTCAAGTGTTAACTTTAATAAGGTTATAAAAAAGGTAAATGAGCTCAAGAGTTTACCAGAAAGAAAGTATATAGTGTGAACATACAGTTGGTCGCGCTGTTCCACGAGCCGGTGCATGCCGACCACGCCGGCCACTAGCGCGCGCACGCCGCTGAACACGTTCCCAGCGTGCACCCGCCCTGCACCTCCCGCGCCCTTCGTACCCCCTGCACCAGGCCCGGGGGCTGTCTTTGCTGCTGCACCGGTGCTGTCATCCTCTTTCTTATCTGTCAGCGAGCGCTTCTGTCGTGCCACCACTGCCTTGGGCTTACTGGCATACGAGTAGACTATTTTTTCACGTTCCTGGGGCGGATAAAGCGTTTGCAATCCTAGAAGATTCGCCAACTCTGGTGGTGGCAACAGAAATTGACCCGATTTTACAGTAGTGATAAATCGTGGTTTGTCCCCGTCGTTCGAACCAGATATTTTACGTAAGCGGCTCTTCCACCCCGGGGACGGAGACTTGTCCATTTTCGGAGAAATCTTCGACTCGTCTTCGTCTACAGGTATGATGTCTATTCGCGGGTGAGATTGACTATGCTTCCCGGGTGACGTTCGCTCTTGAAAACTGATATTAGGGTTGGAGGTGGCGAAGTTGTGGCGTGGGCGAAAGCGCGTCGGGCGGCGGAGGTTGGCTTGGAGAATCTCTTTCTCTTTGAGTCGGCGGAGTTTGAAGTCGAGGGCGCGCGAAAATTTTGGGTCGAGGAGAGTGCGTGCGGCCGGTTGCGCGCCCATCTCTCGGCCAACGGCGGGTGGCGCGGGGGCGGGGCCGGGGGCAGGTGGGACGGCGGGCGCGCGTGGCTGCGGCCGGACCACGTTCACAGATCGTGACGAAGGCTGCGCCCCCTCGCGGCGCTTGTCTTCATCATGATTGATAACTGTGAACGCGCTGGTGATCTCCGCCGGGTGCTTTGCCTCCGGCATCGTATCACGTCATACTTGTGCGTCAAGTGGTGTAGTGGTGTCGCGGTGTAGGCGCGCGTGTCCGGCGGGCGGGCGGCGACCACTGGCGGTCAGCCACTGCCTCCTCCGTCCGCCGCCGCTGCTACTGCGGCATGTGGGGCCGCGCGCAAGCGCCCACGTGGACGCCAAGGGGACAACATTACAACAACAGAGGATCGCTTATAATAATAACCTCTTACAATTATTTTGACTCGGAGAAAATATAATTTTTATAATATACATTTACAGCACTCTCGTTGATAAAAAAAGAATTACATACCCATAGATTTCTAGGAATTAAGACAAAATGAGGATGTTTGTTGAGCTAAGTGTTATGACAGTGACCCGGTAACAGACAGCTGTCGGTTCCGCAGCGTCCTCGTGGGATCAGCCACGTGCTCTCTGAGAGTCGGGGGGTAACGAACACGACGTGTTATTTTTGATACTTGAAAATCGACTCACATCAGCCGCCAGGGATATACTCACTACAAACTGACAATATTTTACGTGTTACACTAATATACACTAAAAAAGACACAGAAAATTAATAGGTACTTAATTTATCTCAATATTTTTGGCCCGTTAAACGAATAAAATTCCCAATTTAAATCTAATTATACTTGTTACACGTGGAAGATGGTCAAAACAGAGACTGAAATTTACAACTGAATTTTAGTAGATAATTTGTCGATTTAATTTTGGGAATTAATGTAACATCGTGATATCGCAACGGCGCGAATGTGCAGGTGCACCTCGTACATCCACCCACACACACACACACACACACACACCCACTGACACTTATTATAGGTACTTAAATTGATGACCAACATTTTTATTTCATTGATTTCTCAGTGGCTAAGCAAGTAAGCCGGGGATGATGAACAGTTACTTCAAATAATTTGTGTACAGTTTAGAGGCAGTTGTTTTTACAAAATAACATTTTTGAAGATTTTGACTATGCAAACTATTCTTGTTTATTTCAGTTTAGGAAAAATATTCTTATTATGATACATACAGTCATACATCTTTGTATAGCAATAGGTATTATTTCAGATTACCTTCATACCGCTTTAGAATTAATAAACGTAGCGTTTTACACTAAATTTGTTAAGTAGTCACTCTTAGTTTGATATTGTTTCTATTTATGAATCTAGAAATTTTAATTCCTATAAGTAAAATATATTGGCGCACTGTGGGCGTGATTGAGAGGAGGTGGCGGTGGCGGTCGCAATCACTCATGTATACAATGTAGGTACACACGTACGCAATCGTCCTGACCATCTTTGGACCGGTCGGCCGGGCTACCACTACCTAATAGCACTTTCACATAAAACGTCCGTTTTTACAGAATCCTTTTTAACGGATCCGTCGCTACTGGAGATAGTATTCATGTAGTCGTTCTACAGTGTTCGCCTACTTTCTACGAGGATGGACGTTGCCGTGTTGTATTGGTACTATCGTCGTCTGCGTCTGGGGAAGCCCCGGCGTTATTGGATATATCCACTATGGCGACTGTGTGCACCTCCCATACCCCGAGCACCCACGTGCATAGCCTCGCGCGGTTCGATCAACGGATTCGAAATACTGTATTATGTGTGAATTGGCTCATACAACTACATACGCTAATAACACATACGTTTAAACGGACCTGTAAAACGGACGTTTTATGTGAACGTGCCCTTACACAAAGAAAATTAGCCATTTAGACAGACTGTTCACAACAAGCGTGGAGAAGTCAATAGGTACTCCAGGTTTTGTTACTCGTAATATTAACTTTACCGATTGCTGTTGCT